GCTATTGAAGTGAGACCGATTCGTCGAAGCAGCAGCGTGCGAACGGGAAGTTTCCCCAGTGGCTGCAGCAGCTGTTTTGGCAAGTTTCCGCCGTTTTCAGCTGCCGATACTGAACCGGAAAGATTCACCCAGCTTAGTTTCACCCTTTTGGCGCCCAGCTTTGCCAGAGTAGTAAAAAGGGCAATGAGGCTGTCTAGTGAAAGGCGATTGTGGTGATGGTTACCATTTGATCCAATAGCAAGACCGTCGACAATGTGCAGCGAACGGAGATTGGCGGCCAGAAAGGTGAAGGTGAGAGGGTGAATGAAGCGAAGGTGAACTCCGGCCAGCTGCAAACTGCGAATCTGCGTGAGCTGGGCGAGATCGTCCTTTGTCAGCTTGAGATCAGTATCAAGTTTGTTGCTTGAGTCGCTTGTTTGACTTTGAAGTATTTGTTTACTTGAAGCAGAAGCGGAACCGATGATGACCAACTGTTCCAGTACGGGCAAATAATGTTTTGCAGTAGCCCGAGTTAGATTGACAAACAGCTCAGAGTGTAGTGGTGGTGGTTGTTGACCATCGCCACTACCACCACCACCACCACAGCCATTTTCCGCCCACAGGAAAGATCGCAACGCCTTGGCTCCAAGCAGCGCCTGTCGATGAAAGTGACGCAACAGTGGACATCGGTAAAGACGGAGAACCTGCAGCGAACTGAGCTCGTCAAAAACACGCTGGTCAATGAAAACTAGCTGACGACAGTCGAAAATATCAACTCGTTGCAGTGAAGTTAGACGGGCGTCAGCAAAGATGTGCCGGTCTAGAGAGCGAACGGCCGTGTCTCGCAGCACCAGCTGAGTGATGTTTCGCTTGTACTTCAGCTGCAGCAGCACCAGACTGACCAGGTCACAGCGTCGACCGGTAATCTCCACCTGAAGGGGCGTCGGCAGGTCGACGAAGGCCTGCTGCTTGATCAACAGCTCGTCCTCGTACGGATCCTTTGCCGGTGGACTGTAGTATCGCCAGTAGTGCTGATAGCGAACCGTACAGTCGAAGAAGTTCTCTGTCATCAGCGGGGCGTCAAAGTTGAGCAGTGGATCGGCGTGGCCGTAGTGGCCGTAGGTGTGATCCGCCAGCTGGTCGTCGTCCGGCAACGGTAGCGGTCTCTCCTCGGACTCGTTGAAAATTTTGACTCGAAAGGGGAGGAATTTGTGCTGGTAGTGGTTTGAGAATTTGGCGGAGAGTGATTTAGAGGATTTGGAGGAGGATGATGACTTGACTGATGAGGAGTCGTCGTTTGAGTGGTCACTGTTGAGATCAAAGGATGAAGCAGTTGGTGGCCTGACGGTGATGGGCACAAATGGGTCATCATCGCCGTCAGAGAGAAACTCCTCAATGAGAAGCTTTGCCCCTCTTCGGCCATTGTTGTTGTTGTTGTCTGACTGCACAACCGGACTAGCGGAGGCGGAAATGAGGCGGTTGAGAAAGGGGAGAAAAAGTAGTAAAGCGCTGATAAGTAGATAAAAGGTAAGCAAAGTTGAAGAAGTGGTGGTGATGGTACACTGGTGATGGTGATTTGGTGAGTTCTTTTTCTTTTTCCTCAACAGCACCTTAACACGGAACAATATTGGGGGCCACATTCTGTGTGATGATTTGAGTGGTCAGTTTGATGTCAACAACACATGAAGTCAAAACACAAACAACAAACACATAAACGAAATGTGTGTGGGTGGGTGGTGATTAGACTGCGGAACTGAACTGAACGATTGCAACAATCGCTACATTGCCAGGCTTTTATGAGTTCAGCAGACTAAGGTTATCACTACTTGAGCATGAGAGAGAGAGAATTGACAAAAAAGAGAGATACAAAGAAAGAGTAGAAGGTGAGTATGAACATTAGAGAGAATTGCAGGCGGGAGTAATCACATCATTAGTAGCCTTGTGGTGGCTGCAATGAAGAAGAAGAAGAAGTACAGGTGTCCACCACCATCACCATCACTACCACCTCCACCACCAGTGGATCAATAGTTGACAAATGAGAAGTTGCTGTTGCTGCTGCTGAAGCTGATGTCTTTTGTTCCACGTGATGAATAGTAATGTGCATCAGACAGACGTACAGTGCTGCTGTACCTGTTGAACGGTACGGCGATTAGTGATTTCAGTGCAACTGTTGATGCTGCTGCTGCTGCTGTTGGTGGTCAGTGGTGCTCCGGTGACTGTCTGAAATGCTGCAGTTCTGATGAAAACCAATGAAGAAGATGGGGGTTGCTTGACTGGCACTAGTGGACATTGCAAAGAACAGAAGAAGGTTGCAGAGGAGGAGGATGAGTGTGTGCTCGGTGTGTGCACTTTTGTAAAAGTGCGGTGTTCTGCCACTCTGAAGAGACAGAGGAGAAGTACTCTAAGGGCAAATGGAGAGAGAGAGAGAGAGAGAGAGAGAGAGAGAGAGAGTCACTGTCTCTCTTATTCACTTTTTCTCTCTCTTCTTTTTTCACTCTCATCAAATGACTTCGATCGGCCGAAGGACAGGCGGCGGCGACGTTCTGATGAGCAACACAAAGTAAAAGAGCGCGAGACCGAGTGCAGCAGCAGCTGAACTGTGCTTCAGGGGTTCACTATCAGACGCCGAGGCAAACTATTTCACTAGCTAGTCACACACATTCGTTCACTCACTCACATAAGCATCTCCTGACGCCGAACACAAAACAGTTTCTGAAGATAGCAATTAAGGCAAACATGAGAGAGAGAAGGAAAGAAAGAGAACTAGAGACAAGTGTCCGCTTGTGTGTCCGCTGTGCTCCGCTGTGCGCAAACATTGACTTGTGTGCTACTTGAGAATCAAGGTCTTTGAGCAGGAGCTCCTGGAGCTAACCACTTTTGACGAGTGTACACAGAGGCAAGAAAATGAAATGTGTGTGTGTGCGATCAGAGCTAACGAACGTGTCAGTGCTGTGAACAGAGGTGTGCAGTCAGCTCCAGATGCGACGAGATCAGATCAGATCAAATCAGTCTGTCAGTTAGCCAGAAATCTCATCAATCAGTCGCTTTTTATTTAAACTAATGTGATTTGCAACTTCACAGATGCAAATCGCAGCTGCTTCAGACACAGTTGTCATCTGATCACCATTATCAGTGTGCCGTTCAATTAACGAATTTCAGCCATTAAAATGATGCTGATTAGATCGCAACAGCAGTGGAGTGGAGTAGGGTGACAAATGCAAAGGAAGAAGCACATGCCTTTTCCTTTTTCTGAAACGTTTAAAGTTCAAATGTTAAGCAAACGTACTCCATTTGATGTTGCTATTTTTAGAAGGACCCTTTATGCAGATTTGAAAGTGAGCCGCAGTGGCACTAACAATTAAATCGCTCGAATGCATAATACTGCAGCGGCTTCAGCGGCTTATGAAATAAAATAAACAACGATAATGCGCTGGCTAATGCGCTTTATTATGGCCGCTAAACCACGCAAACAAGCAATGTCAATGTTCACGTTGCCTTGCCTTGCTGTCCTTGCTGTTCATCCCTTTTACTCGCCAGTACTGACTGAGCCCATTCTCACCTGTTATTGTTCCTTTCTGGTTACCAAGACTGAGCACTTCACATATTGCACCTCTACCGAGCAGCCGCACTTCCACTCAATACAGCTGTAAAACACTACAAAGTGCACCTTAAGTGCTTCCTCGGTATTGCGAAACTGTGCCCAGCATCGGATAAGTGGAATGATAAGCACGGCAACGATGCCGGCGCTGCTCACTCGATTGCATTGGTCAGTGATACAGCGATGTTACTCTGTCTACTCTGCCTGCACCACAGCCTCAATTTGTTCCGTTTGTTTGCTGGCGGTTTGGCTNACAACGATGCCGGCGCTGCTCACTCGATTGCAATGGTCGGTGATACAGCGATGTTACTCTGTCTACTCTGCCTGCACCACAGCCTCAATTTGTTCCGTTTGTTTGCTGGCGGTTTGGCTGATAAAGTCGACTAAAGCCAGTCAACGGTGAAAAAGAGATAAGTTGCTCAAAAAGCTTTGCATAAATGAAGGTGTGTCGGTGCGAGGGTGACGAGGATGTTGTTTTTGGTAGCTGTGGGTCTTTCTGCTGTTGCACAAATTGTTTTGGCAAAGAAAGATCTTGACAGATCTTGATCTTTCCATCTGCTCTCTGAAACATATCAACTTTCAACTGCTTTCAAGTGGTTGCTCTAGTTGAAATACTCAAACTGAACTGTAGAAGATGGCTGATAATTATCAGAGCAGGCACAACCACAAACAAAGCTTTCCGAGTGCAAAAGTAATTGGTGCTGGTACAGTTTTTGACGTTACGGTCAGCTCTACAACTGGCAGTGCAGTCGCTGTGGGTGATTACGGTAAAATCAAGGACGAAAACGATCTTTACGAGGCGTTCTCTTAATGCAAACACTAACAGGCAAACAAATAATAACTAGGCAATAACTACCAGAAAAGTAGTATAATCTACTATTTG